TTCTCCTAGGGGGGAAAATCATATAAGGTGGCAATACTAAGCTCGTTGGCAACATTAAACTATAAACTAACAACAATAAACTGATCATAAGTGAATTAAACTATTAATGTTTTTAATGTTTGTAATCATCACACAGCTTTTATAAAACCTTAACTATAACTTACAAGACTTCAAGAAACAGACTAGGGCCAGGGATTTAGCTCACTGGCACCGTGCCTGCCTTGCAAGGAAGGGCAAGCTTCCATGCTAGGTACCCCCCCCCAAAAAAACAGTCTAATTATGTTCCCAGTAGCAACATTTTAGACAACATGTATTTCTTTGCTTTTCTGAGGCACATTTTTCTTTGTAAAACAAAAGCAAAGGCCTATCAAGGACAATGGTTTAAACTAAGTTTCAATCCCAAACAGATTCAGCTTCTACCCCAGTCATTTAACATCAAGACCTCTCTTTAAAGATTCAATACCTACAGCACAGTTGAATTCTGAATGTGAAGTTAAGAAAACACTACTTAGGCTGAGGAGTGTACCCCCATAGTCTCAACTGTTCAGGAAACTGAGGAAGGGGTTCAAGTCCAGCCCAGGCAACATAGCAAGACCATCTAACATACACATATGGACAAAGAATACTATTTTATTAGTTTCTTTTTAACATATGGAAAAACATATAATAAATATACAAAGAATTTTAACATAAAGACATCCTAAGCTAGAATTTCCTTCTGCTTCTTCTGACAAAAGCAGGCATCCTGTTTTTTAAAAAAAGTTCTTCCTTGGATGCCTAGAATTTGGATCATAGCACGCTCTTCAAGACTTTTCAACTGTGACCAGAATAAGTAAATCTCTACTATTAACATCATTGGGAGAAGAGCCTTATTTTTCAATGCTAGCAATTCATTTGTAAATTATTCTCAAAAACATAAAACAATGTGCAAAAAATATCTAGTTTTCAGTCCTGATCAAAGTTAACAATGTAGATGCTTTCAAATTGCAGGAAGTCTTCAAGATGTTGGCCACGCAGCAATACAAACTCAGAACCCTGACACACTGATCGAGTAACTGTTAACACAAGTAAAGGAGTCTTGGAATATCTCTAGAATCTCTCTGCCCCAGGAATGGCAATGAAAAAGCACTCAGCAAGACACAAACTCTTCTAGGTAAAAAGCAGTCTCTGAGTCAGGGCCAGACCAACAGGTTTTAAGACTGCAAAACCCAAGATGTGAGAAATCAGCCAACCCCATAGCTCAAATCTGAGAAACTGATGAATAAAAAAGATGCTAAAAGAACAGAAATTGGGAAATTTCTCTCTTTAAATTTGCCAACCACATATAGTCTCTTCTCAGAGTTGCCAGATGAAGCAATAACCGAAAATACCAATGGTTAAACCCTGGGCCTGGCATATGCTAAGCCCCCACTTCCATTACTGTTTAATATCAACTCCCAACTGATTAAAAACTTGTTTCCCCAAACTTAAAAGGGAAATTAATATTCATCGCCTAAATACAACACAGAAGTGAGGAAGGTAAGTATGGGTTGGAATGACAAAGACTTAAAATAACAGACTGTATGCTGAGGAAAAATCAAAAATTGCAAATTTTGTTTTGGAAGAACATCAAAATAAAGAAGTAAGAAATCACATAACACATAACAGGGGCCAGGGATTTAGCTCAGTGGTACCACCACCTGCCTCGCAAGCACAAGGTCCTGAGTTCGAGTCCCAGAACCAAAGGAAAAAAAAAAAACCACACAAGTAACAATCATTATTTACTTACACAGTAGATGGCACTGTGCTGAAGGACTTGCAGGCATTATTTACTCCCAAAACCCTAAGGGTGCTGTTATTCTCTCTTCAAATGGGGAAACTGAGGCTTAGGGAACCTAAGAAACTTGATCACAGACACATAACTAATTAAATGAGTAAGAAAGAATCCTAGATATTCAAAGGTACAGAGATTTGTTCAACCAAACCCAGTATTTTATGGAGTAGAAACTAAACCCCTAAAGAGATTAGACAATAAGGTACCAGCAGAGTGACCTAGGTAAGAAGACAGTCCCATGTCCATCTCTCTCCCTTCCACTCTGGACGACACCAAAATTATGTCCTAACTTGAGTTTACCAACAGAACTTAACTTAAATGTTTTTCAAAAAATTATGAGCAACAGAAACAGGAAGATCATGTGTACACGTGTAGTCTTAATAAATACTTTGCATTTTTAATGACACACATGTATTTGTTGTAAAGTAGAAAAGGTATCTCAATTTAATAATTTCCTAATTTTGCTGCCCCTCATATGCACAGAAGGTAATAACTAAATCTAAGGTCAAAGAAAGGCAGGACTAAAGGTGAAGTTGTCTTAAAATTTTTCATTTCCAAATTTCTATTTTATCGGCTAAAGATAACATAATAGAAAAATATATACTGAAAGCTGCAAGTACAGCATAGTATTTCAGGAGTCTCAAAAAAAAGGATCATTTTGTGCCACCCTGACCGCTTTCAAAGAGAACCATATTCCTTGTTAAATGATTATTCTGCTGTCTTCTCTCCTTGCAGTTTCTACTGCTGCACAGTCACAGCAGAATGAAATTTAACTTTAGAGTCAGACAATAAACAGCAACTCTATCAGGTGATAATAAAGTCACTTTAATTCCATTATCTAAGAGTAAAACAATTGTGTAGCTTTACTGTGCATCACACATTGTCCTAAGTCCTTGGCATATGTTAACTCATTTAATCTTCACGACTAAACATGGCACACTGTACTTCCCCAGTTCACAGATGAGCAAAGCTGAGGTACAAAAGTGGAGTGGTTTACCTAAGAGTCACACACACCAAGTGGCAGGGCTGAGTCTATCCAGGCTGTGTCTCCTCACCCGCTGGACACCTCAATTTCAGCACCTCTCCCTGTTTCACTGGCTCCCGGTCAACCATCCCACTCCCCCACCCGGCCTGCGTCCCCTCTAAGATACCGTGGTATATATCATTTCATTATCTCCATCACCAACCCTACATACACTTTTGGTTGTTTGAGGTGCTGGGGATCGAATCCAGGACCTTGCATATGCCAGGCAACCGCTCTACAGTTAAGCTACATTTTCCAGTGTTTTTACAAATCCTTCCCATACTGACTTTTCCAAATCTAAATCTCCTTTGCATCTCAACGTGTTACAGAACTCCACACATGCACACTTATAAAAATGGCTACCACTAACGGAGTATATATATGCTAGATAAAACCCCAAGCTCTTTCTCAGAATTTTAGTTAAGATTGGGTAGTGAGACCCATTTTATTGATAAAATTGCGGCTCGGAGCTGAATATTTTTGCAACTTTCTCACAGCCAAAAAAAATGACAGAGCAAAAGACACATACTCAAGACTGTATGACTCAAAAGCTCCCACCCTTAATGTATATGTACACGTCTTTCTCAAGGACACCTTATATATCATTTAAAGCATCTAGCTCCTACACTACTCATAAAGGAAGCATTTCAACAAATGAATTCTAGGAAAATCATTAGGAAGACAGCAATGACTATTTCTTAGTGGTTTCTAATACAATTAGCCAAAAACAGTTCTGATATCTTATTTAAATAACATGAATTCAATTACATTCAGATAGTCCCTCCCTCAAAAAAAAGGTGATTTAAATCTTTTAGGTAACACTAATCACCAATACTGGAACCCAATTATTCTCCTACTCCTTTACTACTTCAAACACTAACCATCCGAGGAGTCACCAAAGAAAGGGTTTGCTGTAAATTGTTTTGCTTTGCCATCGGTTATTTTAAAAATCCTTCTTGGCCTTAGGGAAATAGCAACGTGACATAATCCCTGATTCCGTCTGCTAAACTTAAACCCATCTCACCTCTCTGTCATTTTTTCAACCCACTTATGAGCATATTGTAAATGCTCATTACGTAAACATCCTCTCTTCCTGGATACAAAGGTTCCAAGCAGCAGTTTTTAATCCCGTGGAATAATTACAGCCCATATAATGACAAACCGATGAAAAATCTAAAAAAAATATTTCGCCATCAGTACTCGATACAGTACAAGCAGCTGTTACCTGACAGACCAAGGTTCTACGTTTCTCCCAGCATATGACACACCTTTTAGACTGACAAAAGCAGATCGCTACCTGGCTTTTCTTTTTTAAAATCCCAGAAAAGATCTCTTAAGCCTCTCACCGAGGACAAATTCTAAGAATGAAGCATTCCACCTCCTCCTCTAACACAGACTTTGCCCCCCCCACCCCCTGCCCAGCAACCACGGAGGAGTAGGGCTTGGGGTGAGGTTGAGGGTGACTGGAATACAGAACGCCCCCACTCGATCGACCAGCCGGGCTCACCCTAAACTTCACCTTGGCACGGCGAGAACCAGGAAGGCACTAGGAATTCCTAGGAAACGGTCCCGCCACCCCACCCCCCGTCAGAGCACATTTTTAACTTCCTCGAAGCCACCACTCCCTGGAGCATTATCAAACACTCCCACCCGGACCTATTACCTAAGAGACTACTTGTAAACCAAGAGCAAACACACACAAAGAAAAACACCCCTGCTCGATGCGGCCAGTTCGGGCTCGCCCGGCGCGCAGGTCCCGGGGACCGCGCAGAGAGCGATCGCCTCGACGGCGGCTGCAGGGACAGCGCGGAGGCCGGCTCCGGTCCGCGCCGCTGCCCGGGCCCGCGGGCAGGAAGCCCGGAGCGGCTGCGCGGCCGCTCCCGGGGGAGCTCCGGCCTCGCTCGGAACGATAAGGTGGGACGCGCTTCCCACCCTGCCGGCTCCGCCCTCCCGGCCGCATTCCTGAGAAGCCCGAGTGCGGGGCAACGCGCCGGGCGCAGGGAGGGCAGGGGCGCGGCGCCGGGGCCGCCGGGCAGAGCGCAGAGCCGGCCGTGTCCCCGCGACCCCCGGCCCGGCCCGGTCTGCACGGCGCCTCCGGGGCGAGGTAGGGCGGCCGGCCCCACAGGTAGCGCGAGCCCCCACCCGCAGGCCCGCTGCCCGCACCTGGATGAACTGGATGGTGAGCGCCGACTTGCCCACGCCGCCCCCGCCGACCACCACGAGCCGGTACTTCTCCTGGCCGGAGCCGTCCCGCCAGCCGGCCGCAGCCATGGGGACGCCGCGAGCCCAGCCTGGCCCGGCCGCGCCGCCGCCGCCGCCGCCGCCCGCCCTAGGCCCGGCTCCGGGGACGTGTGTGACCGGCGGGCTGCGGGCGAGCGGCCGGGCGGGGGACACGGGCGCCGAGGGCTGCCGAGACGGCCGGGACGAGCAGCAGCGCGGGGCCCGACGGGGGCCGAGCACCGCCCGAGGCGCGGAGGCGCGGGGAAGCGCGGGGCCAGGGGCGGCAGCGGCCGGGGCGCGCTCCTCTACGCTCCTCCGCAGCGCCTGCCACACGCAGCCGCCAGCGCCGCTACAAATGGCCGTCTGGGGGCCGGGCCGCCGGGCGGAGGTGCTGCATATGCATGAGGGGGCGGGGCGCAGCCGCGCCCGCGGGAGCCCAGCCGGCCCGGGCTGAGACCCCACTGACGCGCAGTCCGCGTGCTCGCCGGGGAGTGCGCCCGGGGAAGGGGAAGACAGCTAGCGAGAAGGCGTGTGACCGTAATTGCATGTGTCAGGGATTATGTGGATGAAAAATAACGGCATGTGACGGCATGTGTGAAAAATAGAACTGTTGTCATATTAGCTCAACTTGTAGGAGAGAATATTCTAGTTTGAGTGCAGATGGTGAACGTGCTTGTGTGAAAAACAGTATCCAGCCGAAATTGAGGATTAGAGCTTTCACAGTAACTGAGTGTGTGGTGGGCTACTGGTGTGACAATGACTGAGCAAGGGGAATAGATCACAACGACTGAGCTTACATGGACAAGAGCTAATGTGACAGATTTTGTGTGTGTGGTACAGTGTCTTCATAGCCGTGTTTGTAAGCGAGAAATGTGTGGTAATTGCCTGTGAGGAGTGTGAGTGTGGGAGATGCACTTGTGTTTAGCCACCTAATAGGCACTGTGCTGCGAGCTAGAGATGCTTTAGTGTGCAAAATTGTGTCCCTGCCCTCAGGGAGCTTAGAGTCCAGTGGAGACAGCCGGACAACAAGCATTTTATAAGCCATAGTGATAAGAGCTAAGATTACAGAAGCAACATGTGATCTCGTGGAGAAGCCCTCATCCCAGAGTTGGGTGGTCAGGGAAGGCTTCCCGAAAGACCTGAGGAATAGATACTATAGATAGATAAGTAATTCCAGGGAAAGAAAACCAAGTATCCAAAAGTCAGAGCTGAAGAGGAAAGAATTATGTCTATGGGGCTGGGGATTTAGCTCAGTGGTTTCGCCACCTGCTGCGCAAGTGCAAGGACCCAAGTTCGATCCCAGGTACCAAAAAAAAAAAAAAAAAGAATTATGTCTATGATTTAGAATGTATTGGCAGAGTTTACATGCCAGTGATTGTGAATAAAAAATGATCATCTATGAGCATGTCAGTTTGACCAAATATAGGAGGAATCACAGCTCTCAGTGGAAGCAGCATAAGGTAGTAATTAAGGCCATGGGCTTTGAGGCCAAACCAGATCAAACCCTACCTCTTTCACTAAGGGTGTAAGGATGAACTTAATTCTGTGCCTCAGTTTTCTCTTCCCTAAAATAAAGACAAGTAACACTCTCACTATATGGATATTTTAATAAACACAAATGAATTAATACATATAAAACACATAAAAGAGTGATGGCATGTAGTAAGCATTTATAGTGTCTTTGGAACATGTTCTTGGATGCACTTAGTGACTCACTTGGAACCTTAGAATGATGCAGAAAAGATGCAGCCTTATTTCCAAAGCTAGGTCAGAAGAGATCATATGGCTATCACCTGTTCTGTAGGGATTCTTGCTGTGGGAAGCAAAGTAAGAAATCTGGTTAGCATAACCACACTAGAGTGGTCACATAGAGACATGACAGTCAAAAGTCCCCCTGAGCCCCCACAAGAAATCATCTGCCAGCCATCTGAGCCATACTTCTGGGATACCCAGCCCCACACAGCCTTCAGATGCAGCCTCTGCTGGCATCTGACTGCAACTGAATGAAAGACCCCAAGAGAGAACTTCCTGGCTCAGTCTTTCCTGAATTCCTGACACACAGAGTTATGAGCAAAATAAAATTGTAAACTGTGTATGTGTGTGCGTGTGTGTGTGCTGCTAGAAATGTAACCCAGGGCTTCATGCATGCTAGGCAAGCATTCTACCACTAAACCATACTCCCAGCCCTAGCAGCATTTTTTAATATGTTTTATACTGCACTAATGGCTACAAAAGCCTCAATAACAGATATTATTACCGATGTGAACAAAGGAATAGGAAAGAAGAGAAAGAGAAACCTGTATCAACAAGAAGTCCTAAAAAAGAGACAGGTATGTTTCCCGTAGTCCCTATCAGTGTGTACCTAGCCCTGCAATTTCCCATAAGCCTTCAAAACAAAAAAGATGGTCAAAGAGTCCTTCTTTTAGGAAGACTTAGAAATGATTATCAAATCTCAAGAATAAAAAAATGAAAAATAAATCCCCTAAGGAGGGAAGAAAAGGACAAAAACAGCTATACCCACCATAACTGTTTAGGTTGAGGCAAATCAGGTGTTGATCCTAAAGCAATTATAATTAGTGTCCAGTGACTGCATCTGGTGGAAGAATACTCAGAGGGTCTAAGCCTCATGATAGTTCAATAAAAGGAAAAGAGGAGGAGGCAATTATAAATACAAGCTGGTGAGCATATGTGTGCCCAGTGACTACAGAGTTTTCAGGAAGGAAACTCATTTTCACAAGCTCCTATTTCAAGAAATTCTATGCTTAGCTGCTTTTCTTCCTAACCAAGATTTCCTTCCCTTCCTGCTCTGAACCATTTCAATCCTTGTATATAGAACCAATCCAACCCTGAAGCTTGCTACTTGGAACAGCATGCAATTTAAAATTTACAAATGATTTATTTCTGGAATTTCTCACTTAATATTTCCTGATTGACCACAGGTAACAAACCATGGATGAGGGGAGCACTACGGTATCTCTGAATTCCCTTTCTATACTTTGAGAGTGACTTACCCTCACTCCAGATCTGGGGATTAAACCAAGTCCATTTAAGAGCATCAACTTTCCTAGTTGCCCATAGCAATGAGTCAAAGGATGGACAGATGACAAAAGTCAAACCAATCAGGAAAAGATGTAATGTCATCTACAGTTTTCACTGAGATGCAACTTCACATCCACAAGGATGACTTTAATCAAAAAGACATCATAATAAGTGTTGATGAGAGTATTAGAGGAAACTGGAAGCTTCATTCACTACTAATAGGAATGTAAAACAAAATCACTGCTTTGGAAAACTATGACGGTTCCTTAAAAGGTTAAACATATGGAGAATCTTCCCACACAACACAACAATTCTGCAGTTTCATATCCCCAAGAGAAATGAAAACAAATGTCCATACAAAAGCTTGTACAAAGAGGCCAGAGGTTTAGCTCAGTGGTATCACACCTGCCTTGCAAGTGTAAGGTCCTGAGTTCGATCCCTGGCACTAAAAAAACAAAACTTGTACATGAATGTTGACTCCAGCATTATTTATAATGGCCAAATATAAGAAACTCTCTAACTGTCCATCAATTGATGAATGGTGTCTCAGCAACAAGGAAAATGACTAAGATTCTCATAGCAAGAGTGGGATGCTGTAACACTGAGTACCTGGTGCAGAAGCCTTTGGAACTAGTTCAAGGGAGGAGTTTCGAAAGGTATGGAGAGGGCTGGGGATTTAGCTCAATAGTTTCACCGCCTGCCTCAAAAGCTCGAGTTCCATCCCAGGTACAAAAAAAAAAAAAAGAGAGAGAGAGAGATAGAGAAAGTACACCAGAGATTCTGGCTGGTGAAACAGCCCTAGAGTGCCATAAGCTGAGCTTGATGGGAGTTTCCAGTCAGAGCTCAGAAGACCAGAATGCTGACAGAAATGCAGCCAGTAAAGACCAGGCTCAAGAGCTTTCAGTTGGGAAGAAGAACTCCATTTGCAGCTGGGCTCCAGGCCACATGTGTTTTACCTTGAGAAAAGTTGCCTACATTTTGCTCATGTCCTGAGACTTTGCAGGAGACTGAGGCTGAGGATAGTAGACTAATCTGGTGGGGAAATTTCAAGGTACCCCAACATTGAGACTGTGGCATGAATACTGTTGGGGACTTTAAGCCAGATTTATACTGAAAATCAGAAGCAAAAATCCCATTTTAAAAGTTTTCAGTTTTGCCAGAAAGTGTCTGAAAAGAGAGTAGAGGAGATGTTGGTTACTGAAAATATTTGCATTAAGTACTTTGCATCAGGACAATTAGAAAACAATGGCTTCGGGGAATGTTAGGAATCAGCAAAATCCCACCATTAGAAAGGCTCAAAATTGGAAAAGTAAAAGACTTTGCTTTAAGAAGAGAGGCTTAAGGCATAGTGCTCCAGAATAGCCCCATAGGGAATTTATTTCACAGGATCAATCATAGGGATTTATTTCATAGTGCTTAGCCATCTAGGCATTCAGAGGGCTCTACAGCCATGTTACAAAAGGACCTATTACTTGAACTGGAAGCAGACCTTGGTGTCATCCATGTGGTCTTGGTCTTACAGGCATACAGAATGCAAGAGTTGTGGGGTCAGGGAGACATCCACCTAGATTTCAGAAGAGGGCCCGGGAGTTCAAACAGTGTGTCCCTGAAAGGACAGTGCATGAAGCTATGAGAATGAAGATGAAAGTGCACTGGAGGCCCCAGGAAGTTAGAGAACCCAGGAATGTGGCATGTCTGGAGAAAGCCATAAGGAATGCACAAAGCCAATGCAAGAGAGAAGCTATGAGAGCTGCAGCCATGAGCAAAGCCATAAAGGCAGGCTTGCCCAAGCCCTGTAGGGTTCACATTTCATAACATCTTGCCCTGGGTGCTGGACATAGAGCAACAGGAATTAATGTTTACCCTGCTAGGTTTCAGTCTTGCCTTGGCCCCATTCCTTTCTGTCTCCCTCTTCCTTCCTTTTAGAATCAGACTGTTTATCCTGTGCCATTGTATATAGGCAGTGTTTAACTACTTTTCGATTTTACAATGACCTGCAGCCAAGAGTTTGCCTTAAGTCTCAAAGGAGACTTTAAACTTGG